ATAACCCGAACACACCCTAAAAAAGGTGGGCACGTGATAGATAATAACCCATTTGGATTTACAATCAATATACTGTGTATTTCAATGATAATGTTAATGAAAATGATGACGCAAGTCCAAGAAATTACTGGTTTTCACCAGTATTATACATTTTAAAGCCTCCTGAAAATCATGAAACGTAAGACCTTATTATTATTTTAAAGCATGTTTGGAAGCATGTGTTCACTCAGAATTTAAAATTATGCTGCATAAAAATCAGCAATTCTCCTTTTCCAATAAAATATCATTGAATATAATAGAAGAAATCCGCTTTTATCATTCATCAAAGGAAGCAGTTTGAGTAGTGTAGAAAACACAGTTTACCCACTAGTTTACCAGGGTGGCTGCGGGCAGAAAAAAAACGCTGCCTCTTAAATGGAGAACTTAAGGACAGAGCCATATAAATTCTTTTGCAATATTAAATAAATCAATAAATATTTCAAAACATTATTGCATAAGAGACAAGTAAATGGAATTGCTTGTTACCTTAATTCAACACCTATGCTGTTTAATATATATGTCTTTTTAAACTATTTAAAATTAATGTTTCAGCGTAGAGTTCTTTTATTCTATTTAGAAATAACTTTTATATATTTTATATAGATATATATTATATATACAAAATATATACACAATTATAGTATATATACAATATATAAATATACATACACAATATGTAAATATATATTATGTACATATATACATATATTCTGTATATATATTGTATATTATTATATATGTATATAATATACATATTTTATACACAGAAACAAAGGATCATTCTCCTTTGTTTCAGTTATTTTCTGTTTTGTCATGATCTTCATTTCACAGGAGACAGACTTCAGCAAAGTCTAATGAGAGGCTGGTACCTGACAGAAGACTTTCATTACTCTAAGTGGCTCCCACAATATCTGTACAAAGAGAAAAGTTTTTACTTGTGTCAGCACTTTTTCCCTCACAAATCTCTCATTTTTCTTCTTTACTTTTCCCTCTGCTTTACCTCCCTCTTGGTATTCTACCTTTCCTTTAAAAAACATTTTTTCTTATTTTTTTAATTAATAAAAATAATATGTACTGTATTCTTGAAAATTGCTGAGAGTAGATTTTAAGAGTTCTCAACACACACACAAAATGACAAGTATGTGAGGTAATGCATATGTTAATTAGCACAATTGTGCCATCCCACAATGCAAACGTATTTCTACTTTTTCTTTCCATCATGATTTCGGTCACATAACTGCTTCAGAACTGCCTGAGACACATGTTGGCTTTGTCCTTAAGACATGTCTTATTACTCAGCCATGCTCCCTCCCCAGCCACTGTCTCCTGCTCTGCTCTAGAAGATCTGCTTCCAAGGGCCTTTCATAGTATAGAGTTTATTAGTCACATAAGAATTTTTTTGTCATAGAAGCAAAGATACTCGCAGATTAATGACAATGGGTGGAAATGTTGATTCAAATGTAACCAGGAAAGGGAGGAGCATTCCAAGGCAAAGAATGAAAACAGACTGGAGAAAATCAGTGAAAAATAAAGAAAAAGTAAAGCACAGGAAACCATAGGCAGAGAGAAGGGGAACTGTAATGCTGTTGGCGGAGCTGGTCTGGACACGAGGGACCAGACCAAAAAGACACAGATCTACTCCCCGCTCTGTGATACTGGAGTTCATCACACCACATCTGGAGGTTCTTTATGGAAGACAGACGAATCACAAACTAGGGGTAAGGCGGAGTGAGTGGGGGAGCGGGAGGGCGGGGATGCCTCCAGTCTGTGAAGGAATCTTAAGCAGGTGTACTAGGCTGCCTGGGTCCTGCCTCCTCTGTCAGTCACTTTCCAGACATAGTCACTTCTACTCTGACTCCAGCCTCCTTCTTTTTTTTTCATTTTAGGTTTTGGGGTACACGTGAAGAACATGTAAGATTGTTGCATAGATACATACATGGCAGTGCGGTTTGCTGCCTTCCTCCCCATCACCTATATCTGGCATTTCTCCCCATGTTATCCCTCCCCAACTCCCCACCTCCTGCTGTTCCTCCTGTTCCCCCCCAACAGACCCCAGTGTGTGCTGCTCCCCTCCCTGTGTCCATGTGTTCTCATTGTTCAACACCCCCCTATGAATGAGAACATGTGGTGTTTTTCTGTTTTTGTGTCAGTTTACTGAGAATGATGGTTTCCAGGTTCATCCATGTCCCTACAAAGGACACAAACTGATCATTTTTTCACCTTAGTCTCCCTTGGCATCAGCTCTTTCACCACAGATGAAATTGTTCCCTCCATTTTGTTTTAATTCTACCTCCGTCTATCCTAATACTGTCCACCAGTCCTTCCCTCCAACAATAGGAAGATTAAAAAACAACAAACTCAAACAACAACAACAAAATGCCTGTCCTTTGCTTGCTTTTCAAAAGCACTAATGAGTCAGTGAAACAAAAATTAAGCAGTTATTTCCTGGGATTTACCAACGAATACCTACTTCTCTAGCAGGGTTGGGGGTTTCCTCACCATTCCTAACACGCCGAGGGACTTTGTCTCTGTAATGACAGCTCCCATACCTGGAGTGCTGTATCTACCCTTTGTTAACTTTTCAAGGTATGTAGTCTCACCTTCCCTGTGGTGCCCCTTTTATATCTTAAACCTATTCTAAGCATTGACTTCCCTGAGTAGTATCACAAAATTCAGAAATTGTTGACCAGTTGTTTATAACTATTTGTCTTTTCCGCGATTCGCCAACAAGTTTGAGACCAAGGGCAAAATCTTACAAATGTTTGAATGCCAACCTTGGGTGACTGACTAGAGTCATAGAATCATTTTGCTAGATTATTTCAAGCCCTGACCAAGCCTCACTATTTACTATATACCTGGAAGATGAGTTCTGTCTTTTGAAGTTCCTTTTCTTCACAATCTTAAAAACTCACATAGTTAAAAGAGGAAAGTTTACAATTATCGAAAAGGCTTTTATGATTGCAGTACTGGAAACACTGTAAGAAAATAGTTCTTTAATCAACTTGGCACGCTGGTTTCCTTTTGTTATTTTCATATAGCCCTACTCCCCTTGTCTTATACAATAAAAATAAGAATGTCATCTGCTTCCTTATTCCAAACATCGATTGTTCTGAACATCTATTTGTGACTTCACATCTAAGATTTGCATTTTGACTTCTGGTCTGCAATGATATGCTATCTTTATCAATACCAAAATTATGTTTCTACATATGAATATTATTATTTTTGGTTGGTCACTTTTTAAACATTCTGATGTTCTATTTTTCAAATAATTGATAAAAGATGTCTTGATCATTGATTATAGCAATAAAAATAATGTAAGAGATTCTTATTCCTTTTAAAATTAGAACATTTGCTGAAAGGTGAATGTTACTGATTCATTTTCTGTAAAACACTACATTTCTCATCCACATTGGAGTCAAGCAGAGCACTGAGTAATTACTGGATTATGCAGTCCCTTGGTCGCATGTATCAAAGTTTCCAGCTTCACATGAGAATTAAATGTTGGTATGTGGTAGCATTTCAATTTCACAACTGACTTCTGTCTATAGAGATCTAAGTTATAAATCACTCCAGGTTGGAAAAGAAAATCCGGTTTTAGTGCATTTCTTAAATAATCAGAGTTTACATATTTTTATCCACTGTCAACAATGAAAACTTCAGTTTCTATTATTTTTTCTCTTTGAGGCTTCTCTAACTTTGACAGGATAAGGGTTATTCATTTACGTTAGTTTCAGTTCTTTCTAATGAGCACTTTGGTTGTCTTAGGCACATCAACAATTTCATTTTGTGCTAAGATTTTCTACTTTGGAATTTTTAAAAAGTTGTTTTAATCCTAGAAGCTAAAGAAAAGCCTGACATTATTAATAAGATGTATATGAAAATTATATCTTGAAAAAAAATGTCCTAAAAGAAAGAGTAGGTTGAGTATTACTGAGAAGTTCAGGATTTGCACTATAGTTTCCTTAGCAAGTCATAAAAATTGTAAGCAACTAATAGAATGGAAAATAGCAAAAGGAAGTATAATGAGGTATGCAAAGCCAAATTATTTTACTTACATCTGACATCGGGGTCAAATGTTGAAAACATTTTCTTTGGCTTCCCACAGTGGCTCACCCCTGTAATCTCAGCATTTTGTCTCCCATTCAAGTACTAACCAGGCCTGACCCTGCTTAGCTTCCAAGATCAGACGAGATCGGGCATGTTCAGGGTAGTATGGCTGTAGATAATCTCAGCATTTTGTGAGGCCAACGTGGGTGATCACCTGAGCCCAGGAGTTTGAGACCAGCCTTGGCAACATGGCAAAGCCCCATCTCTACTAAAAATACAAAAATTAGCCAGGCTTGGTGGCATGGTCGTGCACACCTGTGGTCCCAGCTATTCAGGAGGCTGAGGTGGGGGGACTGCTTAAGACTGGGAGGTCAAGGCTGCTGTGAGCTGTGATTGTGCCAATGCATTCTAGCCTGGGCAACAGAGTGAGACCTTGACTCAAACATAAACAACCAACATCAATTTTTTTTTCTTTTGTGACCTATTACTTTAAGTAGTTGCATTCTATTAAACTCCTGGACATTATGGTGGATATTTCTGCAATTAGCTTAGACAGTAGGAAAAAAAAATTCATTTGAACAAGATGGGGGTCCTGGAAGGAGTTGAATAAGCATTTTCCCATGAGATCTAGACTATTCCTAATTCAATAATAGCATCACATGGAGATTTTTTTTAGTCGTGATTATAAAAGATTGTAGGGTGCAATTATTTAATCCATTATTTGATTTATATCTATATTCCAGGATCCTTAACTGTGTTAAGGCACTATCCCATTATTCTCTCACCAAGAAAAAAGCTATTACCAGAAACAAAAGAATTTCATTTTTTTTTAAACCATGTCTCGCTTGCTACATCATTTATATCCTGCTATGATCTTTATGGCACTGTTGAAAGAAATGTGTGAAACTCACTCAATGAAGTAGACTTCACCCTTCTCTGTATAGGCCATTTCCCAGTTATCAGGCAATGGGTCTGGTTCCTCACTGTCCTCAGGTTTAGTTGGCTTTGTGTCATCCATCTGCTCCTTCAGCTCCTCAGGCTGACTGTACACTGGGGCAGGATAAGGCTGGGAGGGCATCTCCCCTGAGGCACCTGCACTCTTATCTTCATGTTCACTGGATTCTGTGAGAGAACAAGAGCACGTGGTTAGTCACTCCAGCCATGGTAACTCTGGACTGATTATGGAGAATGCTGTACCAGGGAATAAACTCTATGAATAAACTTTTATGAAGGCTAACAAGAAACATTTCTGAAACAGCATAATTGCAAGCAGCTCTGGAAATGATTACTAGGCCTATTGAGTTCTTCTTTCAGTCCTCCTCATCATCCATCTTTCAGCTAACTTCGATGTTTACCAAATTGGAGGTTTGAAGGATGTAATGTAAGAACCATTTCACAACATAGGTGTGGTGAGCAGAATAATGGCCCCCAGAATATGTTCATATCCTAATGTTTGGAATATATGAATATTATCTTGCATGACAAAAGATGATCTGCAGATGTGATTAAATTAAGGACCTTGAGATGGGGGAGATTATCTTTGATTATCCAGGTGGCTTCATCTGGATGATTATGATTAAACGTAATCACAAGTATCCTTAAAAGCAAAAAAATGAGGCAGAAAAGAAGGGTAAGAGGGAGAATTGACTACTAAATCATGGCCAAAAATATGCAATATTGATGACTTATGAGATAGAAAAAGACCATAAGCCAAGGAATATTGGTGGCCTCTAGAATCTTGACAAGGCAAGGAAACAGATTATTTCCTAGAGAATCCAGAAAGTAATACAGCTTTGCCAACAAGGAACACAAGTCTTCCATTGTTTCAGTTACCCATGGTCGACCATGGTACAAAAATAGATGATTACAGTAAGATATTTTGTGAGAGAGAAAGACCACATTCATGTAACTTTCATAACAGTATACTGTTAATGTTGCTCTATTTTGTTGTTAATTTCTTACTGCATCTGATTTGTAAATTAAATTTTATCATTTTTGTGTACAGTATATGTAGGATTCGGTACCATCAGAGGTTTCAGGCATCCACTAGGACTGGAGCACATCCCTTGTGGCTAAGGGGGGCTACTGTACAATGGAGCAAAAACTACCTTAAGAGACATGGTAACAGGCTTGGAGGACAGACCCCAGATCCCTAACATATAAATGGTATGAGTTCCAGAATGAGAAGAAGGAACACACAAGAATAAATAGTAAGTCGATAAATAATAGAAGAAAATTTACCTAAGACAAAGAAACATCAGTCTGCAGACTGAAATAGCTCACTGAATCTGAGGACAGATTAATGAAACATACAGACACCTGGACTCATCTAGTAGAAATTTCCAAACTACAATGTTAAAAGTCAACTTTAGCAGCTTCGTACTAAACAGAAATGATTACTTACAAAGAAAAGAGGAACAAAAGAGCATCAGACCTTTTATCTGTAATACTCTAAGCTCAAAGAGAGAGTAACATCTGTAGTAACTTAAGAGAAAAAAAGATATAGTAACCCAAGCTTAACTCTACCAAGATATTCATCTATCTGAGCAAAGACAGTCACTTTGGAACATCCAAACATTCTGAATATATAGTCTTCATGTACCTTATCTGAGGGTAATATTTGAAAAATTACCCTAACCATATCATGACAATTGAATCAGAGCAGAGATCTCAAAATAGGGAGAGAAAATAAAAGGTAGGAAGATGATATGGTCTGGCAGTGTTCCCATTGAAAATCTCATCTTGAATTGTAATCCCCGTGTGTCAAGGGCAGAACCAAGTAGAGGTAACTGGATCATGGGGAAGATTTCCCCCATGCTGTTCTCCTGGTAGTGAGTGAGTCTCATGAGATCTGATGGTTTTATATGCATTTAGCATTTCCCCTGCTTGCGTTCACTCCGTCCTGCCAACCTGTGAAGAAGGTGCCTGCTTCTCTTTTGCCTTCTGCTATAAGATTCCTGAGGCTACCCCAGCCATGTGGAACTATGAGTCAATTAAAACTCTTTCCCTTATAAGTTACCCAGTCTCAGCTATTTCTTCATAGCAGTGTGAGAATGGACTAATACAGAAGAAATAAATTCTGCATAATATGGTTAAAAGTAAATGGAAGATGATCACATTCGGAAAATTTGTACTATGTGTTAAAGACAGATTCTGGGAAAAAAAAGTACATGAAGACCTAATAAGAACATGGGTTTTAAACTTTATCTTAGGAAAGCTCAGGTTCCAGAAAGTGGAGAAAAGGTAGGAAAATAGAGACATTCTAAAACTCTCATGAGTAGGCACTTCAGGGAGTGAGTATGTGAGACAATTTTAAAGGCCTCCTTTTCATGGGATGAGATTATTGGGCAAATAATTTGGTCAAGGTTTAGGCTTAATTGTATAATGGGGATATTTTTGAAATGTCTCCTACTGTGTATGTTTACTGAGATATTCAGGGATTTTTTTCACCCACATATAGTTTATCTACAGTCAAGGGCAAATTGTGAGTCTTATTTTTTGGGGAAGAGTAGAGCAGGTACAACTGAGAGAAAGAAATATCCTTAAGGTAAATACGAAGAAGTCGTTCCTTAACCCAGAAACTAGAAGGAGAGCACTACTGAGATTCAGAAGGGCTGAAATGTAGTAAGAGGCAATGTGAGGATAAGGCAGCCATCTTGGAAATATAAAATTCTGCAAGTGTTCAGAACAGAATGCCTATTAAAATTAAACAATTACAAATACACACAGACTCGGACTGAGTTACCCTGCTTTGAGAACATATCCTCTAGAAATAAAGGCAGTATCATATAAGGTTGCCTATATAATCCTATTTTGACAGTATTGGTTGTAGTAGCAAAGCCCTGGACATGATATAAATGCTTACCAATGAGAATATAATTAAATGAAGAGTGTTTATCATTACTATGGAAAACTATGTAGTTTAAAGTCAATGAATAGTTTATTGATTTTCAAAGATGCTTATAATTGTTATTTAAAGAGTAATCTAATCTGCAGAGAAATGTATATTATTAATCCAATTTTTCTAAATAAGCCAACATTAGTCTCTAAGTGATATATAGTTATATATCTACATAAGCATGAAAACAGACTGCGAGGATGTACAATAGATTGTCAACTTTGATTACCTCAGGACCATAAATTTGGACGGAGGTGGGAGAAGTTTATTTTACATATCTTTGCCTTCATTGGACATCTATTATTTTTATAACCTCAAAAGTTAACAGATTATTTAAATGAGTAAATTAGAATATCGTCTTTGTGTCACTATTAATTGCATGGGCCAATTTTTCCCCTCTCTGCATCACTCTAGGAGAGCAGTATTAAAGTATCTATTAGATATTAGAAAACACAAGAACACTTGATAAGTTTTCAGTGTGTTGACCTTAAAAAAGGAAATTATGAATATAATATGGCCCTTAATGATATAGTCTTCTACCTGATTCCTTATACAGATTTGGCCTTTGTAAATTTTGTAGGATAAAAGCAGTTAAAACAGGTACCATTGCTATCCTCAGATGATCTTTTCTGTGGCATATTACAACATGTAATTACATACACTGTGGTATGTACACAGAACATACAAAATGTCAGGTTGCACTGAAAAGTCCAAATGCAAGGTCACGCTCTGAACATATTCATTTATTTAATATTCAGTTAATCAATATTTATTATGCACTCAACTGGTGCCAGGCACTGAGGAACAGAAGAGTGAACAAGAGAGACACTGATCATTGCTCCCATGGAACTCCAAATATGTCAAGATGTGCAGTCTTTATACAATAATTTAAATGTGATGAGTGTGGCCAAAGGGAATCTTATGTCTATGGGATCTTCTGTGTATACATTTGTCTAATCTCATATAAAGAGTCAGGGAAAACCTCTTTTTCAATGTGCTATAAGATCTGAGGCTTCTTTCAGGAGGTAAGAGAGAAATAAATAAACAAGGGCTGGATGAGGTGAGGCCTTATCAGGCATGCTCAGGATTTGGAGGTGTGTCTTGAGAGCATAGATACTGCTATGATCTACTGAGGCGGATGACAAAATTAGATTTTCATTTCCCACAAAGATCTCCTTAGCTATTCTATGGATTTGAGGGTGGCAAAAGTAGATGTTTATAGAGGAGTGAAAAGTTATTTTCGTGCTCTCACAAAGTAATGATGGTGGCATGGAGATGGAAAGAAGTGGATGAAAAAATATTTAGAGGGTAGATTTTATAACCTGACATGGTGGGTGGCAAGGCTATTCACTGAGATTGGAAGCAGGGAAGGGGGTATAGGATTCTGTGGGGGCAGGGGCAGGCTATGGATACGGTTTTGGGCACACTGAGTTAGAGGTTCATGGAGATGTCAAGTCAACGAGTTCTTAGCTGGAAAAAATAAACCTGAAAGACAACAGCATATGGCTAGATGGCACTACAATTTTAGCCATGAGTAGATGAAATTGCCAAGAGACAGTGTGAGAAGCAGAAACAAGAATCTAGAGCAGCTGTCTGAGGAGCTTCAACATTTAAGTCACTGAAAGAATGGACTGGTAAAAGGAGATGAGGAAAGAGCAGCCATGGAAGCAATAGGAAAATTAAAAATCCTTCATGTTGCAAAAGTCAAGCAAAGGCTGATGAAGACAAGACACTTAACTGTGGCTAAAGCTTCTGCACAGTCCAGTCAGACATAAAATCGATAGAATCTAATGATGTGCAGATCACTGGTGACACTGGCTGCCAGTTATGGCAGTATTTATGGTGGTGTGGTTGGAATAGCTTTTAAAGGCTAAGTGAAAAGAAAACATAGAATATCCTGAGAGAAGTCATTCAAGAAGCTTGGGTATGAACAAATGAACTTTCCTTCTACTGTGTAATACCATTAAATTCTCAAGAGAAATGTAAGACATCTCTTGTAACAAGGATCTAGTCTTTGGAGAAGTCTATCATCATATTTGTTGATATATCAGAGATTACTGGAAAAGCTCTCCCAGTTTATCTAACTCATCTGTTTATTCATGCATTTCTGTATTCCTAATTAATTGATCAAACATTACATTAGCAAACACAAATTAAATATCTATAATGTGTAAAACACTTGACAAGACCTTAATGAGGGAGAGTACAGACCTTTTTATCAGGC